GTTGGCAAACAAACATAGAAGACATGCGTTGTTTGCATAAAAACACGATAAATAGTTAGAAAAAGCCTTACGCCACTGAGATCTTAAATATGTTCATTGATTTAAACTGTAAATTGTCAGTTAATCTTGACTAATAGAGATAGACGTTGTTCATAGCTACAGGCAGTGCCTGGGTTACAAACTTCAGACTTACTGCTGACTCATACTGGCCCTTAATGTTATGTAAATTTGCCCTCACTTTGAACCAATGGAACCAACCCCTGCTTGCAACAAATACTTCATTACGGTCACCTTTACTTTACTTGCGGCATGTGCAGCCTTAAAATCATTGACAAGGCTTTGAGCCTTGTACTAAATCAGAGCTTCTAACTGGTTTATTCCAGTTCAAATCCCTGCTGAGAGTTTGCATTTCTAACAAGTTCCCAGATGATGCTAATGCTGCTGGTTAGGGACCAAATCTGAGAACCACTAGTAGAGCAGTGGTTCTCTAAATTTTTATCCATAAGAATCAGCGGGCGACCTTTTTAAAATGGAGATTCTGATTCAGTATATCTGGTGAAAAGGCAAATACTTGGCAGGGGTTCAAAACAGAACGAACTGGTTAGAAGCCCTGCACTAAAGGCTAAATAAGAACCGTGTGTATCTGTTCCGACTTACCTATAAATTTGACTGAAAGACACAGGAACAGATCTCGTTTGTACCCGGGGATTGCCTGTATATATAAGTATTATTTTAATGGAGAAATACTGTATGGAGTAATTGCCAGTCAATATAAAAATACTGTGACTCTGATTTTTTTCCCCTAGACTAGTAATTATTTATATGAGAGCTTTAAAGTTTTTCTGCTTTAATTTTGTAAGGGTTGCCATACTTTTGGTTTACAGTTTTGTTATTAATTTTTAGTTTTATTTCCTTGGGATCAGAGAATATAGCTTAAAATATATATTGAAGTTTTCTTTGTGGTTAATTATATGATTAATTTTTGTCAATGTTCCTTAGAAACTTGAATAGAAATTATCTGTTTTTTAAATTATGTTCAAAAAGACTGAGTTAAAAATAGGAAAATCCATTTTTATATCAACAACAGATTTGTCTTAATTTTGTTATTCCAGTCACAAATACTTGTTTTTATTAGGTGTTTACTCTTAATTTACATTTCATCAATAGAAAAATTTTCCCTTTGTTCAGTTTGTTATTTTTTTGCCCTAAATATTATTTAGTCTTTTTTCTTGTTCATTTTCAGTACACATTTAATTTTTAACCTTTCATGCTCAAAGATAAAGTTGTCTTTTCGTAACTGTAAATTATTGCTTAAAATATGAAATTATCGTTAAGTAATAATTTTTTACTTCAATATGAAATTATATTTCACTTAGTGTAGAATTTAAACTTTTGCATTAGTGGTAGTACAGTTATACTTGATCTTAGAAGTTTTTGCTATTTTTTTTCTATATAGATGATTTATTTTCCATTTACTTCTGCAATGTTTTGAAAGTAAACATAGTTTTAATTTCGTTTGTGGTTATTTTAAAACTTAATTATCAAATGATCCATGTAAATAACTAGCAAAGTTTATCCCTTTATGTAATTTTTATAGACATCATACTTTTTATTTTTGTTTCCTGTATTCATCTTGAGTAAAAAAAATTCTAACATAGATGCTTGTCCTTAGTTTGCAAATTATTTCGCATTTTAATTTTCATATGTATCCAATGGAAAGTTGGGAGTGAGCACTACAGTGCTTTTTCTTGTTGTACCATCTTACTGAGGCTGTCCTTTTAAAGCCAGTTAGTTTTTTGAGCATGTCAGTATCAAGGATATGCTTTGGTCCATATTGTTATGATTTTCGAGTCAGTCTACTATATTTTAGTTTTGTCTAAATAGTTTATGTATACCTTTCAAATGAAAAGTTTTTTTTTTTTTTTTTTTTAAAGATAGTAAGCTATCTAGAACCTTTATGATGGCAGAATGTTTTCCACTTAAAACAACCTTACCTGAAGAAAGAGAATTATACAATTTGGTATTTAATTGCTTTTTAATTATTTGACACACCTAGTTTCATTTCTTTAGTAGCTTTGGTATCTGTTTGAGGGCAGGGGACATGTCTCTTGTTCTAATGCATTTTTTTTTCCGTGATTCTTGCCACTGAATTAGGCATACAGTAAGTCCAATAACTACTTGGTGATAGATTTACATTTAGATGTTCCAGGTTGGAACACTTTAAACACTAGAAATTAGGACGAATTTCTGGTCGTAGTGTATGACATTTTTGTATCGTATCATTTATTTTTATTCACTGTAAGTTAGGATTCATATTAAATAATTAAAAACTTTTTTTTATTATTACTAGATGTGCTTATCAGTCTTTTGTATTTTTTAAAAATGATCTCAGCAGGCTTTGGTTAGCCTCAGAGAGCATAATAAATTTTAAAATAAATTTTTACTTTGGTTTGTTTTTGTTATGTGTAATGGTAATATTTTAAACTGTTCTGCATAACATCTGCGTATTGGCCCCTACAATTGGTGGCTTACCTCTGTTTCGTGTTAAATGTTTTCAGAAGGAGAAATTGCTCACAGTGTTTGAGTCACTTGGCGAAACCATGTCCCACCATAAGAGCAGTGCCAGTTGGGAGCAGCCGGAGGCGATGCTGGTGCATCACAGAATGGCCTTCGTCAGCATCTCTCTCTTCACAGTGCGGCTCTTACAAACACTGCTCCCTGTAGAAAAGGTAAGGCAGGCAGCGTTGCTTGCCTGTGATCTACTGACTGTTATAAATTAGGGCTCTGCTGTAAGTTTCTCCTAATCATTTCACTGCGTGAAGATATTCTGGTTGAGACTGTTTTCAAAATAAGTGTGGGTACAAAGATTCTATGGGAAAAAGTAGAAATTGAGAAATGGCTAACAGTTTTTACAAACTGGTTGATAGAAAAGTATTTTTTAAGCTAGCAGTCATTTTTATGACATGCATTTTATTGCAGTTCTATACTTTGGTTTGTTTATTCCTTCACTTGTTCATTCAGTGAATATTTATTCATTGCCTGCAATGGGCTAGCACCGTTACATGCTGGGATGTAAAACTGACTTATCTAGATTTGTTTCTTAAGTAAGTTTGGGATTAGTTTGAGGGCAGGGATCATGTCTCTTATACCAATAGATTTTTTCCCCCATTGTGCCTATCACACTGTTAAAAAAAACCAAACCAAACCAGCTTCTGTCAATTCGATTCTGACTTCATTGCGACCGCATGTATTTCAGAATAGAACTGTGCTCAACAGGGTTTTCAATGACTGACTGTAATCTTTTGGAAGTAGATGGCCAGGCCTTTTTTCTGAGGAGCCTCTGGGTAGATTCGAGCTGCCGACGTTTTGACTATAGCAGAGTGCTTAACCATTCATGCTACTCAGGAACTCCACCACCCTGTTAGGCATATAAACCCTCCCTCTCCCGCTAAAAAAAAAAAACAACCAAATCCACTGCTGTCGAGTTGATTCCAATTCATAGCAACAGAGTGGGACTGCCTCATAGGGTTTCCAAGCCTGTAAACCTTTATGAAAGCAGACTGCCACATCTTTCTCCCGTGGAGCAGCTGGTGGGTTCAAACTGTCAACCTTTTGGTTAGTAGCAGAGTGTTTTAACCACTCTGCCACCAGGGCTCCTTGTTAGGCATATTGTGAGCTCAATAACTACTTGGTATATATACTTGATAAATGTTTTAATTCACTGGAAATCACTGAAAGCCCACTGTCTCCTCATCTCCTCTCCAAGGTATGCCTTCTTGGTTCTTACTCATATCAGGTTAGCATTTCCTTCTCTACTGCTGGGTACATATTGGCAAAACTCTTCCCATTTGGCATTTCCCAGGTACCTTGACACGTGGAACACAAGCAGTAGTTTCTAGTGGTACTTTAGAAATTATTTCCTAGTTAGCATATGTTAATGTCATATAACTTGTACTACTTGTTTTTTACCTATTTAAAACGTTGTCAGCAGTGCTGTAATTCCTGTTTATTGAGCTGGTTTCTTAAGTCTAATTTCTTGCATTTGTTGTA